CTTCAAAGTAGTAGGCTAACTAATACAAAGTCAAACAGTGTCAATTTCATTAAGAACTAATGGTAAAATTGTATTTTTATCATTCATCAAAGATAGCAGAAAAACATGCATTATGTAGCCTGCTATGGAGGGGACTTTGACAGAGGATTACTCACAAAGTACACAGTAAAAGTACTTCATTTTATTTCTGGTAGAAGTCAAACTAGTACCAAGTCCAACAGTGTAAGTTTTCTTAAGAACTTGTGGTAAAAAATATTTGTATCACTCGTCAAATATAGCAGGAAGAAAATGAAGAGCAGCTGATTTGAAAAAACAAACTCGAGAGGCAGCTGAGTTGACTGCAGTGCAGAATCGCTGTATAGTTTAAATCTCCTAACAATGTTGTCCATTTTAGACATAGGCTTATTATATTTACAGCCCGTAATAACATTCATTTTCTGGGCTCAATGTGTGTCTTGGCCGTTTTCATTGTGATCGCTAAATTCCCCTTGTTTATTATAATCACCGTTCCTTCAACAGGATACTGTAGTGATTCAAAGTGTGATTTTAGCATACGAGTGCTTTTGTTTTGAAATCCGTGAGTTTCGTCTGCACTCTTATTTTGTAAGGTAACTTCCGGTAGCAGAATATGGAAAAACTGTAGTTTTTTTGTTTCTGTTTTCTAGTGATTTTATTTTTTGTTTTGAGAAGTAGAAAATGAAAATCATCCCGTTTTTTAAGTTTAGTAAATCCCTTTTTGACCATGATAAAGAAAAACGCCTTGTATTTCAATTTTGGTTTTTCAATTTTAAAACGAAAATTAAATATTCAGTCGTTTTTTGTTTTTCAATATCCTTTTGTGAAAATAAAATCCAATGACCAAAACATACACTGACCAAAGGATGCATCAGGTGATCAAAAGGTGTCCAAGTACAGAACCTTGTGGCACACCATGATTCACTTTGATTTGCATTGAGGATTCATCGTTGACATATACAAACTGAGACCGTTCAGATAAATACATCTTAAAAGTTAGTTGGGGAAGGCATATGGGAGAAACGCAGTCTAGATACATCAGATTTGAAGATAACTCTTTACCAATTAAGGGCAGTAGGTGGTTAATTTGTGTTTCTAAGGGTTATCATTTTATCATGAAGAAATCTCATTAAGTCAATACTACTGAGCGGTATAGAAATAGAAGGCTCAATAGAGCTTTGGCCCACTGTCAGCCTGGCATTGTTCATATTTCTTCTTATTTTATTTCTATTAAAGATGACTAATCAGTCATGACTAACCAGCTGCTCTAGCTTTATGGAGAGCCTTCCCATATTTGTTAAGATGATCAATCCAAATAGGTTAAGTTGTAAGGCAAAGCAAGGCAAGTTTATTTATAAAGCACCTTTCAACACAAGGCAATTCAAAATGCTTTACAAAAATGAAAGAAATTAAGAAAATGGCATTTAAAAACAGTCATTAAAAAGCAAAGATAATAAAATAAACATTAAAAGAAAAAATACATGGATACAAGTTACAGTGCAGTTTAAGATGTGAATAGTTCAATTAAAAGCAGCGGCAAAAAGAAAAGTCTTTAGCCTGGATTTAAAAGAGTTGCAGCGGACCTGCAGGTTTCTGGGAGTTTGTTCCAGATATTTGGAGCATAATAACTGAACGCTGCTTCTCCATGTTTAGTTCTGACTCTAGGGACAGAAAGCTGACCAGTCCCTGAAGACCTGAGAGATCTGGATGGTTCATAATTTAGCAGTAGGTCAGAAATGTATTTTGGGCCTAAACCATTCAAAGCTTTATAAACCAGCAGCAATATTTTTAAATCAATTCTTTGACACACAGGAAGCCAGTGTAAAGACTTCAGAACTGGAGTGATGTGATCCACTTTCTTAGTGTCAGTGAGGACTCGAGCAGCGGCGATAATTAAGTCCAGAGTGTGCCCCTTATTGTGCGTGGGCTCCGTCACATGCTGAGTCAGTCCATAGTTATCAAGAACACAAAACAGTTCTTTAGCCCCTCTGTCCTGGGGGTTGTCAACATGGATGTTAAAATCACCAACAATGACTAGACGGTCAAAGTCAATACACACTATAGACAGCAGTTCAGTAAAGTCATCAAAAAAGCTTGCACAGTATTTGGGTGGTCTATAGATATTTAGGAACAGAGCTCGAGAGGAGCATTTCAGCTGAAGGGCCACATGTTCAAAAGAAGCAAAGTTCCCATAAGATGTCTTCCTGCATTGAATGGAAACATTGAACAAAATAGCAACTCAACCTCCTTTCTTATGCATTCTTTCCTGACTCATAAAACTAAAGTTATGTATGTCTCTTTCTTATAGCTATAGCACTTTCGCGGTGGGTAGACGAATGTTTGCCTTATGGCTTGTGGTCCAGTAACGTTAAAAGTTATTAAACATTTCCAGATAAAGCAGAATATATGGACAGACTGAGCTCAGTGCTCAATTTACCTGGTACACCGCAACAACAAAAACTGGAGACTAAGAACAAGGCTTCCAAAAGAGTTATAATTCAGTTTCAGTGTAGGGTTGATTGTATTCTTGAGTCGATGATGGCTGCGACTCCACCTCCGGGGCCTGTGCCTGATAATAAGTAATTTAGCGCTTCAGGTAATAGAGATCTTACGTTAAAGAGTCCACATTTAATTTTGTTTAATTAAGTTTGATTGCACTGTTGCAGAGGTGATGTTCATTTTTATTACGTTTTTTTTGTATTACTCACACACCACCCAAACAAACACCCACCTCTCCGCCTCTTCCAAGGAACGAGGGGACCGTGTGGCAGAGTTTCAGTTTCAGTTACTTTCGCCGGTCAAGATGTCCGTTAAAGTTTAAATCTTCCGGACAAAATTAGAAAAGTGCCGGTCAAAGGTCTTCTTTGTTATTTATTGAGCTTTAAAACAAATGAATAACGACTCTATATAATAAAACACGGAGGACGGAGATCTCTTTTTCTCCCCCTCTTCTGACAGCCCAGCAGGTGCTCAGAGCACGGCTCACCTCTCCTGCAGGGGGGCGTGGTCAGCAGAATCAGACCCGTAGACAGCAAACAGCACATAGAGCGAAATGAGGCATGGCTAAAATGCATGATCTGTTTGGTATTTTGAAAACAGAAACGTATAAATATACCTTATATAGGTATGGCCCTACAATATATCATTTAAATATAGCATGATAGGTCCACTTTAAAGCAACAGGAGGGGATTTAGGAAGGGTGGAGTAAAATGCCAGAGCATCTGTCAGAAACATTATGTAAGGTGGCACAAAGACAAGTTCAAACCAATCACAGGAATAATTTATCAGCACTACTCTTTACAATAAACCCTCTTCAACACTGACTGAAACAGAACATTTCCAAAATAGCACCAGTAATGACTCAAAATCAACCAAAATCTACATAATGAACTTACCAAACAAATTGCCCAATTTTGTGTTACAGTACAGCTACAACCTAGGACATTGGTTTTAATGTATAATTTCCAGTAATTACACTCCACCAGACCTTGTAAACTCGACGGTGACTGCAAACCATAAGCCTTTGAATATCAACATGTTTCCTGCGTCCATATACCCTCTTAGAATACATTAACCTATGCTAATCAGTTCAAGCATTTAAACATTTTAAAAACAGATACTTTGCTCTGCTGTCTTCTAGTGTGTTGTGTGCTACCATCTAGTGCTTGAAAAGACAACTGGAATCAGATGATGTGTAATCTGAAACCTTTTCCTGCATTTCGTCACTCATTAAGGCTAGCTGACAAAAACTAAACAAAAAAGACATTAAAAGAATATATTTTTGAATTATCCATTTGATATTTAAACTTTTTAACTGCCATCATTAATGTCTTTTTTTCACTCAAACAAGATTTTTTACAAAAGTAAGTGGGCAACAGCAACATTTAAAGTGTGTTTGCCTATGAAATGTTTCAGCGAATCCCAGTTTACATGTAACATTCAACTGCTGTTGCTTCTGATAGCTGATTCTCAACTCCTGCACTGACAAGGTAGCCGACTTTCCGCAGTTGAAAGAGGAAAAGCAGTGGAAAGCACCTGGTACTAAAAGTGAGTCAAGTCGAAACAAGTCTAGCCGTACCATGTGGTGGAAATGCAGCTTCAGTACATTAGTGTGCAGAAGTGAGATGTTTTAACATTTAAACATTACATTTGAACATACAGTATACATACAATTACGAAAGAATAAACATAAAATAATATGCATTGTATTAGGTTTTAGCCTTAATAAGATCTAAGAATAAAACATATTTATACTTTAAAAGAAGTGTATAGAACACATTTCTTTTTTTTTCTAAATTATTTAATGTGCATTTAACTTTGCAGTTTCCTTTTGAATAAGGTAATTTCAACACAATAACTGTCATCATTTTCAACTGTTCTGTTACTGTATTATATTACTGGGAGGGCATCCTTTAATTACTAATAGATTATTAACCATAACTCTAATCTGCCTCATCTAATTTCTCGAATCAGTCTAATGGAAACTGTACAGAATGGAGCATCTTTAGCAGCGTCTCATGTTAGCATGAACCTCATGAATCATCTATTTTTTTAATGTAGTACTGGCATCAGCACAGGATTCATTTTTGTTGTTTCAACCTGTCTAAGAGTTCTCAGTGAGGCTGAACTTTGACACAACCACGTTCTAAGCTAAATGCTAACATCAGCAAGCTAACATGCTGAACGTGACTTTAATGTTTATGTTTAGCAGGTGTCATTTTTACCTTGTTCATAATCTTAGTTTAGTATGCCAATGTGTTAGAATTAGCTAATTAGAACTAAACAATGAGTCTGATGGGAAAGTAGTAGTGGAACACGTTCAAACTGATGAAACTGCAACATGAAGCTTGGCTAAAAAGTAACATGAATACATGGCTGACTCTATAAAATGACAATGTTTGCTTGTGTTCCTGTGTAAGTTCCACACTATAAGAAAGGAGTCTGTTGATATCCTCTTCAGATCTAAAACTGATGTATCCGACTATTAGTATCCCAACATTAAACTGCTTTGTCCTGACTCCACCTTCTGATTATAAGACACATCCTGCTGACACCCATCTTCTTTCCTGGGACATGAGACCTTCGCCATGTCCCCTCTCCCTGGTCCTACTCTGCCACTCTGTCGCCTCTTGTTTGTACCAAGAGGTAGGGACCCAGCAGTGTTCCCCTCGTACAGAATCATGGTCTGCAGGCTGCTGACAGGAACTTCAGCCAGCAGCATGGTGCTCTGCAGCTGTGGTTGAACTATGTAGTTCATCGGCTGCATCACAGTGGAGCTGATGTAGTAGACAGGCTGCTGCTGCTGCTGTGGTACGATTACCTGAACAGGAGAGGGCAGCAAGCTAACAGGACTAACAAGAGGTGACTGAGGCTGCCATTGGATGCTGTGTGACGACAGCCTATGCTGACTGCTGGAAGCTGTTCCATTGAATCCCATGACACTGTTGGATGTTTGCCCATGCATGCTGCCGGTGGAAGCTCGGTGAGATCTCACGACATCCGTGGACTGACTGATACCGACATCTTGATTGCGCTCTAGACTCTTGCCACATAAGTTGTTGGCTTTAATCTCCAATGAGAGCCCTGCTACGTGGTCAATTGTATCCACCTCTGGGGGGACAATGCTTTGATGTATCAGAGTTGTTGGAGGTTTCGGTGGAGAACAGATCTCAGCCAGGGTCTTGAACTTTGATTCGAGGTCATCGAGGAAGTGCAGATCATTGTCAGACTCCAGGGGGCTGCAGCAGCTCACTGAGCCAGCAGAGGAGCCCCGACCCTCGTAGTCATACTCCAAAAGACAATCACTCGCTGCCTGCTTTTCTGCTATACAGCTCGCCTTCTGCAGACATTAACACAAACACAATGAAAGGCATTTTACTCTTGTCACCGACAATTGCAAGAATAAAGATTCAGTAAGGATCACATCCACCAAAGCTGGAACAATCTGCACATATAAAATTATGCTCAAGGCAACATTTTGGAAACAATAATTACTCACTATGACAGCAACATGTGTGTCTGATCAGGTAATTTAATACCTAAAAATCTACCAGCTGTAACTATCAAAGCTGAGAGGCATGGCTGACGTAGCTTGATAGAATGAATGCATCTTTTTTTTTTTACATTTATTTAACCGCGTAGGGCTAAATAACAAAACATGCCATCGGAATAGAATAAAAAAAAATAGACACATTGAAAGTGTAAGAAAGACCTGAAATACAGCATTATTTTATTAATTGAAATCTACTATGTCAAGAATGGAAACATTTCAGAATTTATACACATAATTTTTACTTACATTTTGCCTCTTATTCTTCTACATTACAAAAAAATCAATGTTGCTTTTCATAATTTCCCACTTATTGCATTGTCTGTCAATCTGCCAAATATAACTACAAAACAGAAAGGCCGATGTGATGTACTGTGTTTCTGTATTGCCCTGAAAAATAACTCACAGGCTCATCTTGTTTGGTTCTGTGTTTTTTATACAACTTGGCAACTGTTCTTGGAGTTTTGTTTGACACAGGATACCATAGTACTCAACAAGCAAACTGCTGAGACATGGAAAAATGTTGTCTGGGCAAAATACACACCACCACACCAAATGATTACCTAAATTGTATGACAGTTTACAGAAGACCATCTGGATAAAACTGTTGTTTCTCCTGACCTGATGGATGGAGAGACCCGGATGCAGCATTGGAGGTGGGACCCCGTTTAATCATAGGAAAGTTGCTCAGTGGCACATGAAGCCAAAATGGCCTGACTCTCAAGAGCAAAAGTACCATATCTGGGCCCATAGAGCGTGCACGCTTGCCTTTCCCATAAGCCCCTCCTCCAATCAGCAAACTGATGGCCGGTGTTGGCTCAGTCAAATGAATGGACGAGGGAAAACAACTCTGGATTTGGCTTTTAGTGCATTAAACAAAGTTTGGGACCTAATGATTTAAATAAGGGGTATTCCAGTGTTCTGACTCTGAAGTTGATTTACCTGAAAAAAATTATGAGCTGATTTACAGATTTCCATTTCCCAATGTAAGACAATGGGAACAATTATTTTGCAGCCCAATGACGTCAAAGACAGACACCGAAGTTATAGTAACACCGTTTGGCCACTAAAAAGATATTGCTTCAACGCTCGGCGCACTTCCTAGGGGATTGGACCTGACTGACTGCGATGTTAAGTAAAACCGCAATGTTCTCACATAGCAGCAACTACTTTGCTTATATTACAAACAAACTAATGCAAGTAAGAAAAATATTGAAGCAGTTTCTTACCTCAGAGTAGTACTGATGCAGAAACACATCAGAGAGGGCAATGCCATCCAATGCTTCATTCTGAAACATTGAGTATTCCTCCCTCTGGCTCTCCAAGAGCCTGCTGTCCCGGTGGCCCATGTCGACCCAGCATGAAGAATTATATGTTTTGTTAGCTGTGCCCATCTTCACAAAGGACATTGCAGTGTTTGCTGTGGTGTTGAAATCTGCGTTGCTGGCCCATACAGAATATATGGCAGGATGCGACCTATGAACTGGAGATCTGAGCAGAGGGACATCCTGAAGCACAGAGATTGGAAAGAGACATATATATTTAAATCAGAGACACACACCTGCACTGCCACCTTCACATGGCTGTAAAGTGACAGTGGCTTTAGGCTGGAATGGATTATAGATACTGTTGTAAGGGTTCTGGTATGAACAAATCTAATTTATCTTTGGTACATTTTTTAGCACTTCAGCAAGGAATAGTTGAGTCTTTGTGTGCTCTATTTTCACCTTGTTCTCGCCCCGGCACTCTATATGATACACCATCAAGTGTTCTTTGGTGTCAAAAGGAAGATCAGTAAAAGTACCAGATGCTCCTTTACACGAGCAGGTCATCAGTAAGAGACCTACAACTAAAAGAAAAAGAAGGCAAACCTTTACATTTCACACACAAAAATAAAAAAAATATTCTCTTCTGCTACTCAAATGATTATCTAGCCATGTTATGTTATATGCTGGAAAATTACAAAGAATAAAATCAAAACGATCATAGATGGACACCGCACATACCGAATATTTTTGATGATGAATCAACCATATAAAACCCTAAGCCTAACCCTAAACTAATAAATGTACATACTGGTTTGACCACAGTCCAGTAGGCATACATTTTATGTCACGCTAACACAACTGTTACTCACCAAGCAGTAAGAAAAATCCAAGGATCGGTGCACCAACTCCCAGTCCTCCAAATGTAGAGGAGGATTCCTTGAGAAAAGCTGCTCTACCATCTAAATCTGCTGTGCAAGTTTCTCCTTTCTCACAGGAGCACACGTGCAGGTCCAGGTACTGAGGGTCTGGGCAGACGAGGCCCTGCTGGTCCTCGATAATGAAGACAACCTGGTAGTGACCCGGCCAGAGTGCTTTCAGAGTCCTGAGGGACGTACTGGTACCTGAGCGCAAGAAAGAGGGTTACTGTTCCAGTGCAGAAGAAGCTAGTGGATGTTTAGATTTTCATTCTGCCTTTTCTTACGTTGACGGAACTTTTTTGTCATGAACATTGGTTTTGTCTATTCAATGTTAAAGCACTAGATGGAAATTGACCCCAAACAAATGCCAAACAATAGAGGACATGGAACCAATGGCAGCCCTACTGAGTTCTGCAAACATGTCTGAAATATTTTCTCTCCCCCTGAAACAGATCAACTAACTGATATTGAAAAGGAATCCACAATCAAAATGTGCCCTTTTCATCAAACATTTGCAGCCGCCATCCCTTGTCAGTACTGTCTTCTGAAAGTGATTTGAGATTAAACCATTGGTTCAAGGGTAGATAGCAAAACTAACTTGTGATAAATAAAAACAAGGTATCATACCATTTAAAGGTTCAACCCTCCACTCCCCCTGGCTTTTCCCAGACACAACAAGGAAGTTGAAAGGGGCTGAGTTTGGGTCTCCATCGGAATCCACTGCCGTGACGGTAAGTATTTCAGTGTCCGAGCAGATGTGCTCTTTTTGCTTGGTCAGTGTTGGGCAGTTATCATTTACATCTCCCACCTGCAATGCTATTGTTCCGGTGCTCATCTTAGGAGGGTTGTCTGTGGGAATCAGGAAACACTAATTCAGTTCAGAAAGAGGAACAATCCTTGTGAAATCTTCCTAGAGTAAACTAGAGTTAAGTTTAGAAGTGTCTAAAAGTATCATATAGACCCCTTTTCTGTATGTAAAAATAATGATATGTTATTTTGGGCGGAGCATTTTGAAGAGTTTAGTTGGCTTGTGTTTCGACAATGGCTCAATATACAAGGTCTCTCTCTCTGGGGGCCATGAGTATTACTTGAGGAGGGACACATTAACTAACAGTACGAGATTGGCTCACACCTAACATTGCACGCTCAGTGGGACAACTTTTACTTGTGGTTGAATGGCTAGACATTTACAGACCAAAACAGTGAAACCAAGCGTGTATAGTCAAAAGAGTCTTTAGGTGTCTATAACAATCACTAGGACACTTTCACAGTATTCTCTGTATTTTGTCTCTGGCCATACAACTACAATTCAAACAACTAACATTCTTTGAACTAGTGATCGTGAAACTAACACTCGTACAACTGCCAATATACAACTAGTTAATAATAGCTAATAACTGGCTAAGATAGAAATCACCTAAAATAATCAGATTTAGATTCCCATTTTCTGATTGGATAGGAATGACAAAACTTTGGACACATATCCATACCCACAACAGACAGTATTTGATCTGATATCAACTTTGCACAACAAACAAAGAATTTCGCTGAATGCCACAGTCCAATCGTTGCTTAGTAATTAATTAAACAATACTTCTCTTCTTTTTAACAGCTAGTGTATTATAACAAGTTAGATCCATTACTCCTTCTTTTCTTGCACCCAATAAAAAGGAAGGTGACATTTTCTATGTGTAACTTCATCCTTTAAGTCTGAGGTGATCACTGTTTGCCTCCAGTATTTCCTGTGTTTCCTTGCTACCAGCTACTACTGTAACATTATCCCAGTGATTCAGGCTGTGATCAGTAGTAGTGGCACAACTTTCCCATGACACTGCTACAGTATATAGTTGTTGATATATGTATTGTTAATAGGGCTTAAAACAATTCAAGCAGTGACCTTTATTCTTCACTTCTGGCCATCGCATTACACTTGTACAGCTTAAAGGAAGTAGCTGATCCCAAGCTCTTAATGTTCTTTGCATCCACAAACTTCAAAAGCTCAAAAACCCCAAACCTATTGAGCTCAGCTTTCTAAATGTAAGACTAACCCCACTGCGAGGTGGACGAAAAAGGTAAAATGTTACTTAAAGGGGACCTATCATGCAAAATGCACTTTTGTGCGTCTTTTCTACATGAATATGTGTCCCCGGTGTTCCAGGGAACTCACCAAGTGTCAGAAAACACAACCCTCTCTATTTTCCTCCATACCCAAATCTCTAAAAAAGGGGCTGCAACGGATCTGATAAAAACTGATCCAGATTTGAACACTATCCTGACGTCAGGACAGTGGCGCTACGGCTATTGGGCCAACTCCACCAATCAGGAGGAGACAGCCACGGCCGTTGCCGTTCGAAAGCGCTGGAGACGCTGTAGTACATATGCCAGGCCAGTAGATGGTGCTGTTCTCACTGAATCTGCCCTTGCTAAAACAGAGCTAGAAATGGTCAAATTGAGCAAAATGAGGCATGGCTAAAATGCATGATCTGTTTGGTATTTTGAAAAAAAAAAAGTATAAATATGCCTTATATAGGTATGGTCCTACACTATATTATTCAAATATAGCATGATAGGTCCACTTTAAGCAAACTTTCAAGTATCAGCATTCTGCTTAGCGGCCCAGTTCAGAATCATTTACAGTATATCATAAATATTGAGGCACTTCATCAATTGAATGTAGCTGCTTACGAAGAAGGAGTTTTTTCTCCTATATTTATATAGCTGGGTAGCTTGTGAATATAAAAATGAAATAAATAAAGTTTTATCTTAACCTATAATTATTCATGATAACTGATTTGTTGACTACCTTTTGTATTATTAGCCTGCATCTTAATATCCGCTTCTGAGGAGTAGAAGTGTAAAGTAGCAGGAAATGGATATACTAAAGTAACGCAAGTACCTCAAGGTCTTATAAGTAAACTACCTCAGTACATGATTTTACTAATCATCAACCACTGCATCTACTTTCCATAAACAGAGCTTACCTTCAGTCATACTCAGTATTTTAGCATAGTAAGTTCCATTAACCAAGTACGGGGACTCTCTGTCTGGGGCCTTCTGAAGTCTAATCTCTGCTGTCTCTGAGTCAATCAGCAGCCAGTTCTCCGGATCGTAGCCTTTGGCATATCTGTGGGAAGAGAATTGGTCAAAGTTTACTTTTCACAAACAACAATCAAATCACCTCACAGATTTATTTTTGATGCCTTTCAATATCCACAATACCAGACTATTTATTATGCGAGAAAAATATGTAATATTTATTTAGAATGTTAGACATAGAGTTTAAGTTGAATGCACTTTCATTGAGTCCAGTAACCTGCTTCAGTTATATAAGAAGATACTGTATATAACACACTGTTGCCTTACTGTTGCCTTACTGTTGGCTAAAGGGTGTATAATGACAACAGTAAAATATAGAATATTTGTTATAAGTTAATTGAAAAGTCAGCCAGGGAAATGTTTCACCACAATGATGTTGATTTCATTTAGGGGAGAAGATGAGTTGGTCTCACCGAACATTTTTAGCAGGCTTTTCAGTGTCAACGTCAGTGGCTGTGTAGACAGCGATCACCTCCTTCAGTGGATTCTCCTTCGGGTTCTCAGACACAGAGACAGGCTTCACTGAGGGTTTAAAGGCGACCCCTTCAATCTCATTCAATACTGCGATGTTCACGGGGTAAAGTTTAAAGCCTTTTGTTGGCCTCTTTTTCTTGAATTGCGTTTTAGCATCAGTCCCTGCTCCTGCCCCAGTTGCCCCAGTTGCACCAGTTGCACCAGTTGCCCCAGTTGCACCTCCTCCTCCACCTCCACCCGCACCCGCACCCGCACCCGCACCTCCTCCACCTCCACCTCCTCCTCCACCTCCGGCACCTCCTCCTCCTTGACCCCCCTCATCACCACCCCAATCCCCTTCATTTGGGGCAACATTGGAAACTGCAACTCCCAGGTGGATATCAGGATTTGCCTCAAAATCAACAGGCTGTAAGGCAAAGAGATTGCAGTCACATCAGTTTAAACCAACAGGTTACTGTTTAACATGTCCTACTGAAAATAAATGAATACATTTTACATAAAAGATATTATGTGGCACAGACATGACAACAAAGTTGGCAAAGCATTTCCAGATATGTTGTCTTAAATAGAGAGACCATGGTCCCAAGGGGATCCTTGGAGACACTTCTGGGGTGCGTCCAAATTACTGTTTGATACATTCTAAACAAATACAATTCAAGCTTTTGGATGTCTTTACATGAAGATGTGTGCTGGTAGAAACTTTGCTTTTAAAGACAGTGATTTATTCTTCTTTTTCTATATGAATTTTTTCAAGGTTATTTGATAATAATTTTCCTGGTTAATTAAAAGGATTACTGTATAAGGATTTATGGTGTTGAAATTGACACAATGTATTATTATTTTGTAATTCATCTTATAAAAGTTTCCTGCGTCAACTAATTTTCCGAAAATGCAACAAGCAGATTTGTTTAAAAAAAGGCTATTCAAAATAAAACGAAAAGTTGTTATTTACTTTAAATCTTCAAAATGTAGAAAAGGTAAGGATAACAAGTGTTTATCCTTACCTGCACACAATGTACAACAATATCTGTTTCTTTTTTTATTACTGCCGATTTTTATTCCATATTTTATTCTATTTGATTCCATTCCATTTCTATGTAAATACTGTTATATTTTACGATATTTTTTATTATTTTTAATATTTTTCTAGTTCTCTATCTGTGTTTCAAATGTTTGTTTTACTTTTATGTATGCACCAAGACATCAAGTCAAATTCCTCGTACGTGTCAATCTACCTGGTAATAAACCTGTTTCTGATTCTGATCTCAGAAAGAGAAAGCAGTTAAAGAAAACACATTTTCTTAATTACTAAATGAGTCTTAATGGATAAATGGCTGGCCTAAGCTTTCTCATCTTACCCTGCAACTAATTAATATAAAAACATTTCCTTTAAACTTTGATTATACACATACTGCAGTATAGTTCAGATCTACCTTTACAAGCAACAGAATCCCTTCGTTGGTGTGGGGATCAGTCTTTATGCTGAATATCCCGTCTTCATTTCCAGTGACAATATCAAAAACAGCCAGCCAGTTGTCAGTTCTCTCCTCATCAGCATCCAGCGTTTTAAACCTCATGACCTCCACATCGGCTGTGTTCTCCACAATGCTACATGCATACTACACAGGAGACAATTTTCATTGTACACATATTGATTTTAAAAGCTTAAAGTAAATATGATTTGCTTATTGGCTTTTCGGCAAAAGATATATGAGAGATGATTGATATAACTATCATGTCTCTTTTTTATGAGAGCCAAGAGCCAGTTAGCTTAGCTGAGCACAAAGACTGGAAACAGGGGCAAACAGCTAGCATTGCCTTGCAGCAAATCTAAAGTCACTATTTTCCATGCTAAAATTATAATTTGTAAAAAACATTCCTAGGCTACCATAACAGACTCTAGGTTAAATTACTGCTACCACTGCTACTATTTCTTACTGCTAAGAAAAAGTCAGAATTGTTTATATATTAAACAAATTAGATAAAGAAAGAAAATGAGTTAGCCTTTGAGGCAAAATGTGTATCCAGAGCGATGGATTTCCGGGGGATTATATTATCCTTTGGGAAGCTAAATGTTAGTTGATTACAGCTGTTTCCAATCTGTGTGCTAAGATAAGTTAAGCTAACTAGCTGCTGGCTGTAGCTTCATATAGGCAAAAACGCAGACATGAGAGTGGCATCAATGTGAACATCTACATCTTTTCAGACACGTCAAAACACTTTAGGTACATTACAGCTACACAGAGCTGTTTTATATTCAGGCAGAGGGGCAGTTATTTTACGTTAGCATCGGGGAAGGTACAGTATGGTTATTCACATTATAAAGGGCTGTTTTTAAACCTTTACACAAAGGTTTCAAGTCAATGACATGGTTTAGTTCATTATCACAAGATGTTCTTTGTTGATACCTCGTATTTTTCCAGCTTGGGTGGGTTATCATTTATATCCAGTACTCGGATATATATAGTTGCGGTGGCTGTGTTGCCTCTTGGAGCTCCGTCCATATCAATTCCTTTCACTGTTAGAATATAGGAGCTTTGTTTCTGTGAAAAATGGAGAGACCAACACAGCTTTATCATATAGCAACAATCTTATCAACCCTACAAACGTATAGTAGTCATACAGCGTGAGACAGACATATGATATATGTCATCTGTCTGACCTCTCTGTCTGTGGTGTTTTCTTTGACGTAGATGGTTCCACTTTCTCTGTCTATGTAGAAGAGGTCTCTGCCATCAGAGGGCTCCTGCTTCTCAATACTGTAGGCAATCTTTGAATGGTAATAGTTAGCCTTGTCTGCATCAGTAGCTTTTACAACGCCAACCAGAGTGCCTGGACAACAAAAGAAGACAACATTCAGCCGGTTTCATTAACATTGGTTTAATCCTATGCAGGTTTGACAATGAGTCTGTCTGTTAATTAGCATATTTTAGGGTTAAGTTGGTTTTTGACGTCCTGAATTAAGAGCGGGCTGTGGGTTGCTTAAAAAGAAACTTCAGTGATTTGACTTTGGGGCCTCCTTAAATGATGACTCAAATCAGACTTCTTTAAAGTAAAGTCAGTATGTCAAAGTTGACCTTGACCGGGGTACAAAGAGAAAACCATATATAATTTTTTTTTATATAATACAAAATCTAAAGAGACCATTTTTTCATAAATCTTGGATAAGAATCGCAGCTTAAATATGCTTCTCAAAATACCTAGAAAAAGATTGATCCAGAGGAGGTAAACAGTTGCATGTTTCAAATTGTAGAAGGAAATGCCAGATGGTAAAGAAAAGTGTTAATGTCTAAAATATCAGGACTAACCAACTGCAATATTTATTTCATAAAACAGGTGAGAATGCAGCCTGAAAGGGTGATTCAACAGTGTGTTATAGTGTTCACAGAGACGTTATAAAGTGTATACTTCTTTAAAAAGCCAGCGCTGAGATGGGAGAAAACTTGACTTTTAGTTTTTTTTTGCGTCCACTGTTGTCGAATATACTGGAGTGAGTCCCTGAGTGTTGGTGACAGAAACGTTTACCTGCTGGACTGGACTAAATGACTGTAGCTGGAGGTACATCGACAAAAACAGGTGGATTATCGTTCTCGTCCTCCACTTCAAAACTCAGATCTATTTTGCCTTCAGCCACACTGCCGTTGCTAAATAAAGCCAATCCAGTCAGCTGTTGAACAGAAATAAACACACACACATGCTGATATGTCTTGAGGTGGCAATTCACTAGATTTCCACAAGTCCACATTGGTGCAGAGCATCGATGAAGAAACTCTTCAGGTTTAAACTTTAGTAAAAGTAATAAAACCTACACAAACTCTGATAACGGTTTTAGATCTGTTCACATGCCTCTGCCATTAACCACTCTTGCTGTTCTGTGTATAACTGGGAAATGTCTTTAGAAAGACTGTGGTGGGAAGAAGGGACGCTTAAATAAAATCCTCTTCATTCAATAACAATAATTATTCATTTTTAGTTGATTTATTAGTGAGTAGATGGGTTGAGTTGTGTTCTCACAATATAAGTTTCCTTCTCCTCTCGGTCCAGTGTTCCTTGGATATACACCAGGCCAGTGTGCTGATCCACAGTAAACCGGTTCAGTGGTTCTTCGTTGGCCCCGGGCCCCTGCAGAGTGTAGTGCAGGATCTTGTTCTTATCATAGTCTGATCTGATCTGAGAATGATCATAAATACAAAAAAGATGAAAATCTATTTAACGTCACACATTGTCAATTTGATTTAATACAAACTTCGGTAAGACCTATTAAAGTCAGAACTTCTGTATTTAAAAATGTTTGGAAATCATGATGTTTATCACCACAACTTGTAGAAAACTGATGTTCTTTTCAAACAAAATAATTGTTTTATTTGAAGTGTTGTTTATGCATTATAATGATAACTCAATGAGATCAGAAACATTTCATCTGATGAAATTCAATTCTAAGAAAAAATAGCAGTGAATTCATTGTCTGTCAATGGCTTAAAGGTGGGGTAGGTAATTTTGGAGAAACCAGCTCGAGTGAGCTAGAATTTGAAAATACACAGCCGGAAAAAATCTGCCACTTCCTTACAGAGCCCCTCCTCCAACACACACGAACGCGCACATGACCAATGAGGGCACGAGATAAGTTTGTGCACAGATGGAAGGCTGACAGGCAGGTAGGCCATCCAGTTATTTTAGCCGGGCCGGCTAAAATGATTGGTCGTGCTTTTTACAGTACTACGGCTTCCACAGATGACATTTTTTTATGGATTTTTTGTCAAAGCACTTAAGATATTCATTGCTATCGGGATGTTAAGAGCATTCCATGCAATATAACAAAAAGTGTATCTCGAGCCGGTTTCTCAAACTTACCTACCCCACCTTTAAGTATTTCCGGGTAGATGAAACATACCTTGGTAATGTGTAAAGTTTGCAATAAAACTTAGTAGTTCCACAAATGTGTTTTACCATTTGAAATGCCATCCACGGCAAAACAAAGAATCCCTAAACTCTGCATGTCCAAAACACCAAAGCCACCAGCCTGCACGCAAATGACTTTAATTGAAACAAAGAGCTAAAAAATGACAAAAAAGTCGAAAATAAAAAAAAATCACATCCCCAATAACCAACCACATAGAGTGGCGAAGTCCCTCCCCTTCCGGTGGACCTCCATGGGACCTTATTTCGGAAAAATTATGTATTGAAGTCAAGGGAGAGAGAAAGATTATCTTTCGATCCCGTTTGAATTGTGCCACGAATTACACATATGATGTTTGTCAATTTAAAAGATAATTTTGCAAGTCAAAAAAAAAAAAAATGTGTCATAAAACTGTGAAGTAACACATTTGTTTGTGTGAAACGCTCAATGAACTACATCTCTGGTCAACAACACACGTCACCAAGATGGCCGTCACTACTGTCAAAACGATTGACTACCCTCACTATCACCACAATGAAACACGTCCTGAAGAATGTCATGCAAAGCTGCCTGCCTGCCTTCCTTTGATTCTCTCTGAACTGCCTGGTCGTTTTAATGTTTAATGTCAACCATTTGTGCAGATAGCATGAAGTAGAAAAGATCGCTAGCGTTAGCGTTAGCATTTCTCCCCCGGGCTTAAATTGTGTATTATAGAATGACCACACCGGTGACAGTACTCTTCAAAGGGTTCACGAAATATGACTACTACTCTTACTGTTTAACATTTTGGGTTACTTAATGTTACTTCATGTTAAGGCTAATAAAAATGACAAGGCTGTAATGCTAACTAACGTGCTAGCTACTAGCTAGGTAGCTAACTTGATCAAGCCACTCCTGGTCCTTTCATCAGACGGGAAGCAAAAGAACGAGCAAGACCCATTGCTGGTATGATAACAACCTGGTACTAAGCACACAGGCATCTTGTTAAAGTTATCTTATCTTAGCCAGCGCCATATAGATAGATTCTATCTATATGGCGTTATCTTATCTTAGCTATCTCTATTTTAGTGGAGGAAAACAATTGTGACATCACTTAGGATTTGTAGTCTTTCTAGTTGCGTATATTTCAACAGTTTTACGACAAACTGTGACTTTTTTGACATGGAAATGATTTTTTAAGATTGACAAACATCATATGTGAAATTCATGGCACAATTCAAACGGGATCGAAAGATACGTTTTCTCTCTCCATTGACTTCAATACATTATTTTTCCGAAATAAGGTCCCATGGACCGGAAGTAGATGGGCGTGACTTCGCCACTCTATAGACAAAGACATGACCCAAATAAGTATAGAACTTCCTGGATTCCAAAAAATCATCAAAATGAAATTTGAATTGTCTGGTCCCAAATGTTCTACAGAGAAAGCTCTACCAGAGTTTTACATTTCTGTGATATATATCTGTGTTCCAGCAGAAGGCTTTGTGTGTGTCCTGAAACAACCTGTTTTCAGGCAGATCACACAATAGAGAGATTGTAGCAGAAGGTTTGCAAGAAGCACTCATATCATGGAATTTAACAGAAGATTGTTAAGTGTACATCACCACCAACAACGGGAGTAACATCATCAAAGACCACAAGGTTAAGACCACAGTGTTATGGCCATCAGCTGAGTTTTTTTCCCCAGGGAAATAATTATAATTTGTATTATCATCAATTTAATAAAAGCCTGTGGGTAAGAAGGTAGAGAGCAGCTTCCCATTCAGTTGGAAGAGGAGAAGAGACCTTGCCATTGTGCAGAAAGAGTTAAATATCCCTGCATACCAGCTGATTAGTTAGTCTCTTGTTCTGACCAGGAAAGAACTAGCAAGTCCTCGAGTCAGTGCACAGGCTCAATCAGGTGAGGAACATGTCAAAGTCTTAAAATTGATTTTGAGAATGTATTGATTACTTACAAAGCCCTGATTGGCCTCGCCCAATATCAAAATGTCAATCCTGGATTACCTGAGGGGGGAATTTGCCAACCCCGCCAACAACAACCTGGAATCGCAAGAAGATCTAAGGTTCAAAACAAACATACATCGCTGAAAAAAAGGTGGAGGCACTCAAGTTAAGAGCCATATCAGAGATGGAGGCAATGCTGTCTGAACAGGGCACAGCTAAGTCAGTTGCTTCACAGCTTCATAAAAACATCAACAGTATCATAGTCAGAGCCACAGAACAAAGAAACGCCCTGAAGCTCCTTCAAAAGGACAGCAGCCTCTGCCACACTTTCACAGAAAGAGCGATTTGAAACTGTTAGCTGCTTTCTTCCAGATAGATCCCATCGGTTGCAGTCAGTGAGTCACATGCCCTGCAGTGGTTGAAGGAGTACAAGAATATGTTCCCAAACCTGAAACACCTGTGTGTGTCCCCCATCAGAAAGGGTACTTGGTACCAGTGCGATTATAAATGCCACCGGGCATTTCTCAAGCCATAAGCTGTTGATAGGCATGTGTTTTTGGAACTACACCTCGAGACAATTGGTTAACCTGTTAAGCCCTGAGCCTGTTTTTCAGGTCTCAGGCTCGAAAATGACATTCCCAGAACAAATGACCATATCTTCCCTTCTAAAAGGGTTAAATTAATAATCTTTATTCTCAAAGTAAAGATAAACCTGTGAGTTGGATGTAGAAAAGTCAGAATCAATATAGATGTTTTTTATTTTAAAGAAAATTCAGATTTTACATAGTAAAAAACTGTTAAATTATGTTTTACTTATAGTGAAAACTACCCTTGGATGATGGGTTAGTAGACTAAAAGCTTAAGGAATCCAAAGTACAACATATAGTAAGTACCCTGTATCAAGATTGATGCAAAACAAGTGAAATTTTACCTTTTTAGAGAGATTTAGCCAAGAAAACCCACTTCTGGGGTCATTTGGGTGGATTTGACCTATCTCTGGGCCCCCTTGCTTGATTTTGATGAATGAAATCTCTTTATAACCGCTAGAGCCAATGGAATCGAGGGAAAGTTCTATACACACCAAAACGTTAACAAATAAGGAGTGAGAGTGACGCGTAACCAAAACCGGAAGCTGCATACACTCTGGTGGCTACCATTAGCAGCTAACTTTTTCGCTCCGATTTTTACATAAAAATAGAATTATGGATTATAAATAATTTTTTCAAAGTCACAGTTACATTATTAACCTATGGATCAACAGTTGTAGCCTTTTTTTTTCTTCGTTTTAATGCCATTGAACACGTCTTTTGATCAGATTGACAGCTACGGTGAGATGATCTCCTGTAAAAGCTCCGTAAAGGTACGTGTTGTGATGTCTGTGTTTGCTTCCCCTGTTGCGAGTTCGGATCGCTCAGTGATGATACTATAACTAAATAATCAGTGGAGTCTCAGCTTTAATCGGATATATTGTATGTGCAGCTACGATAAGTAATAAGGGTATCTTTATCTTGAGTTGTGTGCTAAAGTGCTAATTCAGAGGCTTGGTATTACCCTTGTGTTTTGTTTTGGTAAAAATGGTTCATATCTTCAGTTAGCTGAGATTCTTCCCGTTAATCTGGTGCTACACATTAATAGTTTCATAAATGTTAAGAAGCCCTGAGACATTGTCTCGAAAAAAAAACGGTGGGAGGGGTCCAATGGGGGGACCGTTGTCCTTAAGAGGTTAAGACTGACTGGTGGTGACAAACACACCACACACAAAATAAAACACACACAGACACACACACACACGCACACAAACACACAAACTATAATTACACAAATCAACCAACCGCAAACAAAAACTCTTATGAGTTGCTGTTATTGGTCGGGTAAGAGATGCTTTTCACGATGATAGCCTGGAACTTATTTTCAAACCGTTTTTGAAATTACCTGTCACAAACTTTAATAGCAAAAATGCACTTTAATTTATGTTGTTTTGAAAGGTTTCGCTAAGGGTTTTTGTTTGTTGCTTTGAGCGCTGTTTTTGTTAAGGGTATATTTTGTTGAGTTGATGTATAATTGTCGGGTTGGACTAAATACTGTTTTGTTAAATAACACGGTTGTGTTTTACTTCAATAGAAACCACTAATTAAATCAAAAAGAATGTTTTAATTCAGACATATGTTCCAGAATTGTCATAATGGTGTGATTAGTATGCACAGGGAGGCATTGTCTTGATCGAGGAGGCAATGAGTGACTGAATGAGAGACTGTCCTTTTTCCGTTTTCACAAACTGGGAGGTCTGCTACTTGTCAAGGAAGACAAAATCGTGTTGGGCTTAACTGTC